TGGTGAGGGCAGATCACCCCAAGAACCACGGGGTGGGGCATGGGGCTCGAGGAGGGAGGTGTGAAAGCAGTTTTGTTGCCGTTTACGCTTCTTTCTGGCAAGCAGCCCACGGCCTGTGGTGGTGGAGATGAGCAGTCCCATCCGAGAGCCCACTACCCTTCTAGAAGGACGTGGCTTTCGCCGGCCAATTGGGAGCGTCGCAGTCCCCGGAGCATGACATACGGTAGCCTTTCCCTAGAAAGTTGTGTGGTGCTTATCTGATGGTGAAACAAACCTCGTTTTCTCATTAGAAAGGTTGGTTTCCTTTCAACAAGAGGCCGCCTTTACCCAAATTAGCTCAGCGCCCAGCACTTGAGAGATGCATTAGCACGAACCCTATACATTGGCCATTTCTGTGGGTCAGAAGCATTTAAACATTGGCAATTTCCATCTAATAGGTATGCTAGAATTTTGAATTCCCAAATGAAGACTTGTGTGTGAGTGTCTGTGTGTGTGTGTGCATGCGTGCGTGTGTGTGTGCAGCGAAACACCTTGTCAGAACAGACAGGAGAAACAGCATGCTAGTCAGAGAATCTAGACGTGAGTGCTGGACCGACCATCTTAAAAGCTGTGAGTTGCTTCACTTCTCAGGGTCTTCATTCCCTCATCTGCAGCCCCTCTTTACAGGGTAGTTGTGAGGCAGACATGGAGAGTGAAAACGGTGGATGTGAAAATGCTTTCCATGTGGCAAATCACCACACAGCTGGGGGATCGCGTGTGGGTGCGGGTGTGTGTTTACATATCCTTGAATACGTATCATTTTCTGTGTTTATCAATTTTGCCTGTTATCTGTAGGAGCAATTAGAAAATGTGTCCCTTTTACATCATACACAAAACAGAAAAAGTGTTCAACACTTCTGTTCTCAGGACTAAGTGAGGATTCTGCCTTAAATGAAAGCATGTCTTGTTTTTCATGAAAACTCTCTGGGCTCCAGGGGTGCCTGGTTGGCTCAGTCGGTAGGGCGTGACACTCTTGATCTCAGGGTCATGAGTTTGAGACTCATGTTGGGTGTAGAGATTACTTAAAAATAAAATCTTGGGGGGCGCCT